AGAAGACAAGTCTGAATTATGAGATAAAAAGTTGTAATTACCTAACTTGCAATCACCAAGTATATTTATACATTTCCGACTTTTAAAAAAATGTATACTTTTATTCAGCAAGGATGCGTTAAATTGATTAAAAATGACAGTAAAGACTTTTATAATGTTACAAATAATAATAATAATAATAATAATAATTATATTTCAAATAAATGCTGTTCCTTTTTATTTATCAAAGAATCTGGAAGAAAAAAAGTTTCACAGTTTCCACAAAAACGCTAAGCAGCACAACTGTTTTCAACATGAATAATAATCAGAAATGTTTCTTGAGCAGCAAATCAGTATATTAGAATGATTTCTGAAGGATCATGTGACACTGAAGACTAATGATGCTGTAAATTCAGATTTGACGTCACAAGAATAAATTACATTTTAAAACAGCAACTATTGAAATCAAGCTGTGACGCTCTGCAGACGCAGTATACGTATGAAACAGGCCTAATATGAACCTCTCTCTCTTTTCTGGTGGCAGAGTGAATGCACATCAGTGTGGGAACGTCTCGGTTACTTGTGTAACCCTCGTTCGCTGAAGGAGGGAACGGAGACGTTACGTCAGTCGTGACTGACGAATTGGGATCTCGCCCGAGAGCCCAATCACCAGGCAGTTGATATGCCACTGCAGTCGGGGCCCCGACCAGAGCCCCGCAGCTGCATTCCCATTGCACATGGCACCCCAGCCCCTGACCGAGGCATCTGTTGACACAACAACATGCCTGGATATTTGCCCTAGGGACACCCCTGTCCGAAGAAAGGCAAGCTCTGACCACGGGCTGAAGGTCTGACGGCAGAACGGGGTGACAGAAACCCGGTTTGTGCCTGATAACCAAATGTTCACATTTGTAGGGGCGTATTTTCACACATCAGTTCAATGGATGCAAAATGACACAATGATTCTTTTCACACCAATCCTACCATGAGCAGCACTAATCAAGTGAAGAGGATGCTGCAGTCCAGGTGTGGGTGCCTCGCACATCTCGGCATCACTGCAACCATAATGCTTGTGTTTATGCTTCAAAAAGCCGTAAATAGAACAAAATATGCATTCATCGTCATATTACAGCCCACGATTTTATGAATATCAGTATGATTGCCCTTTAAGAGGTCCTTCCTTGCACAGGAGCATGGTGAAATAATGGACTGTGGCTTTGAGGCAGCGTAGTGAAGCTAATCAGCCATCTTTTCCCAAACATTCAGCTGAAAGAAAAGGCCTTCCAGGGGAGCCACATCCAGGCAATAATTAGTTATGTAAGCATGATTACTGACTGGTTGAGTAAATGCTCAGGCTAAATACTGGCAAACGCTCCAGCGCTCTGGGTACTGAGAGGATGATGGTTTCCAGCAGTGGACTTCATTTTCAATGTGTGTTGTCATTATTGACTGCCATGGAGGTTGGGCGTCTTGCAGAGTGCAAGAAACATTTTTGCAATTTCTCTCCCTCCATCTCCCACAGTTTCTCTCTTTCACAAACAAACTGAAGCACTAACTAAATCACAGTTGCTAATGAAAAAGCCTTACACACATATATAACTGAATGTTATCTCATGTTTATGTGAAAAGCATAATGAAATTTAAATGATCACTGGAAATGTTAACACCTGCCCTAGCTATCGATAAAGGAATAGTTCACCCAAAAATGAAAATGTACTCACCCTCAGGCCATAAAGGATGTAGATGAGTTTGTTTCTTTGTCAGAACAGATTTGGAAAAATGTAGCATTACATCACTTGCTCACTGGTGGATTTTGAACAGGGGATGGACGTTTACACTGGAGGAAGCTTTATTTTGGAACATGAACTCATATTTTTGGCCAAAGTTAAAAGTTTGGTTTGAAGTTAAAATGCCTGATTGATGGATTTGTTTCTTACCACCATGCAGCTTTTCACTTCACAAGATGTTAATTGATGGATTGGAGTCGTGTGGATTATTGTGGATTATTGTGATGTTTTTATCAGCTGTTTGGACTCTCATTCTGATGGCACCCATTCACTGCAGAGGTGCCATAGGTGAGCAAGAGATATAATGCTACATTTCTTCAAATCTGTTTTGATGAACAAAACAAACTCATCTCCATCTTGGATGGCCTGAGGGTGAGTGAATTTTTAGCAAATTTTCATTTTTCGGTGAACTACTCCTTTAACAACCTGCAAGATGAAGATTGCCTGTGAACGGTGACTTAAATATCACACTTTTCTTCACACAAAGTTATTATATGACTTGAAATATAGTGCACAAGTCATATAAAGTACTTTTATGATACTTTGTTTGTGTTATTTTTGAAGCTTACTCAAATTTCAAAGTCATACAGAACAGTATGGCGGGTAAATGATGAATTTGTTTAGGTGAACTATTTTCTTAAAAGTACGGCACAAGCAACTTCTCAGCTTGTCCCCCAAAGTTCAATCAAATGTCCACACCAATTGCAGCAGAACTTTTGTATCCACATTCACAGCTGAACTTTTGGCTCTCTGTGTTGCACTCTTTCATATATAGTAACTCCCTTTTCCCAACAATGCAGTAGTAAGGCCCCATTTACACCTGGTATTAACATTTGTCTCTAGTCGTCCAATCACAAGTGCTCAGCTATAAATACAGATAGAAATGGGGTCCTATACATCTTGTGATCCAATCACTCAAACCACTTTTGGAGCTGTTCAGGGACGCACATGGCCTCTTCGCATTTGTAAGTGCTAATGTGTCCTAGTGAGTCACAAGGCCGTCTATTCAGCTAACACTTATTCATTGCACCAAAACATGAGTTTTAAGCTTTACCCACTATTGCTGCCTTCAAGTCCTCCTGGGACGTTTGTGCTTATGGGTACAGAATTACAATGTGTTTTCAAGTGATTTTGGTTGGACATGATAGACAATTTCATATTTCTTTCTCTCTTTTTTTCCCTACTTCCCGACAAAGACGACAACAAAATGTTCAACAATGTATTGTATTGTTCTCGGATTCCACAGGGAAAAAAAAATTCATCAATATTTTTGGTCATACAGAAAGACAGTAAATTATTAAGATTTTTTAAATGTTTTTGAAAGATGTTTCTTACACTCATCAAGGCTCATTTATTTGATCAAAATACAGTAAATACTGTTTTGTATTTTAATATGTTTTAAATGTAATTTATTCCTTAGATGGGAAAGCTGAATTAACATTTCTTATTATTATAAACGCTGAAAATACTTTTTGCTGCTTAATATTTCTGTAGAAACCGCAATACATACCATTCCAAAGTTTACGGTAGGATTAAATAATAATAATAATAATAATAATAATAAATAGCAAGGACACATTACATATAAATAAATACATATAAATACATAATATAAGATTACATTGTATAAGTAATGGCAGTATGTTTTTTTATATTGTATTGTTGTAAAATAAAAAAAAAGATCAAAAGTGACAGTAAAGACGTATAATATTACAAAAGATTTCTATTTCAAACAAATGCTGTTCTTTTGAACTTTCTATTTATTCAAGAATCCTGGAAAAAATGTTTCATGTGGTTTACATAAAATATTAAATGGCACAACTGTTTTCAACATTGATAATAATAAATGTTTCTTGAGCAGCAAATCAGCATATTAGAATGATTTCTGAAGGATCATGTGACACTGAAGACTGGAGTAATGATGCTGAAAATTCAGCTTTGCATCACAGGAATAAATTACACTTAAAATAATATTAACATAGAAACATCTATTTTAAATTGTAATAATATTTCACAATATTACTGTTTTTAATGTATTCTTGATCAAATAAATGTAGCTTTGGCAAGACTTCTTTCAAAAACATAAAAAAATATCGTAATTATTCCAAAGTTTTGACTGGTTGTGTAAATGCAAATAGTTGTCTTCAAATATATAAACATTGTGTCAACTTTTAGGAGTACATTGGAATATAAATGACCTCAAAGAGACAAGCCACAAAACACTCATTTGGATTTCCATATAAACAGGCCCTATGAAACAAACATCATTTCAGGATAACAGCGCTGACTCTTGCACCTAAAAGCTCTTGATTAAAGTTTCGTTGAGCAGGAGGTATCAATTCAGCAAGACGCATGTTTTTTTTTTCTCCCTTTTTCTCCTTGGCTTTTATTGCTTACTGATGCAGAATACTTAAAACTGCTGAGGTTGTTTTACTTCAGAACTCCCCCTTAGAAGATTTACAGTCTGTTAGAGGACACATTTACAATGTTTTCACCTCCAGATCAAGTGATTCACAACTCACAAGTTGCTCGGCTTTTTTATAAATTCCAAAGTAAACATCAGACTGGAATAAATAGGCTAGAGTTGTATTATTATTTAATCTTATATTCTGTCAGAACAGCAATGGCTACAAATTGTTCTAAGCAATCTGGGTTATTAGGCTGTATAGGAGTAGGCTAACGTTTTAACAGAGGCTAAATCGCTAAGAACAGGGACTTGTCTTTAGATCTGAGATATCGCTATTCCCTCGAGAGCGAGTGTTTAAGCACAGTTATTTAGGATTGAGGAGTGTTGCAAAACGGCATCAATTGTATTTCAACAGGCTTGATTGTAATAAAAAGGTGTGTTTGGTTAAGGATCTAGCAGTCAGAAATGCAGGATAAAGCATATGTGCTTCTTTTGCACATATTACCATATGCAAATGTGTGACAGAAATGCACCAATCAGCAAGTGCAATTGAAGGATTTACCTCTAGCAGGTGCATATGTGCTTTTGAAGCGTTCGACCGCAGCTGCAATCAAAGAAAGCCTTAGCCTAAATCCTGCATTTACTTTTTGAGGACAGATGTGTCTTCCTGCAGTTGCAGATCTTACGTCACTTAAAATTAAAGTGACATAAAATAATATGCTATATTACTTTTTAATATAAAATACTTGTAATTATTTAATTGTTTATGTGAAGTGACATGTATAAACTGTTTACTACAAGGATTAAATTCATCTTGCTGACACTCAACTACAGTAGGCTAACTGAAGAAATTGATCACGTGAGCTCCAATTCGCTCGTGTTTGCATAAAGAAAAAGTACTTTTCTCAACTTCTTCATGTCACAGGATACCGCCGCAGGTCGCCGGAAGTCGCCAGCTGAAAATAAATGAGTCCAGATGCTATTATTGGAAATATGGCTTTTGCACATAACCCTGCTATAGGATTAGAAGTAATTCACTTAGGGAATGCTACTTTTCATACATTACAGCATCAAGTGGAGCAGTCACCAGAGGTTGTTTCGCAGGCAGTGAACAGCGTAAAGGCCGTGTGACATTTTCCATGTGGAAATTTCGCCAGTCTTTTTCTTTACGTGCTGTGATGGATGTTTGAGAGCCTCGTAATTGCGGTTGTCATTTTCTCTCTATACCGTAGCCGCGCTGATACGAGCATTTTACCGTGAGGCGTAATGTATGCATTCCCCTGAGATCACTCGGACAACAGCTTTCTGAAACAGGTGAGGGAAGCCACTTACAAGTTGCCATGGAGATCTCTGAAAAAAACGGCCCTAATTCTAAGTCTTTTGTTTTCTATTCAAATATATTTAAATTTCCATCCTTTCAGTGACGTGTCGTGCATTTGTAAATGTAAGTGCTTTCCTTTTGTGAGGAAAGAGGACAGCGAGAGAGGGCTTAGCCTGCAAACTGTTCCTTCTCGAGGCGCTCTTGTAGAACATATCACCATATTTGATCTGAGATCTGAATGACAGCATTTTAAACGCGTGTGTTTGCATTTAGATTGGTGTTGTTGTGAGCTCGTATATGGCTGATATTGATGAAATGGAATATACTGATGTGTGTCATGGCTATAATTCGCATACTGAACATTTTATTCATTCTCTCCCTGGCTCGTTCTTAATGGAAGCAGAAGTGCTCAGCCTTTCCAAGAATTGTTTCTCCATCCTTCACTTTAAAATGCCAGACTCAACACACTAATAGTTCTCTGTCTTTTGAAAGGATTAGTTCACTTGCAGAATAAAAATTTCCTGATAATTTGCACACCACCATGTCATCCAAGATGTTTGTGTCTTTCTTCAGTCGCAAAGAAATTAAGGTCTTTGAGGAAAACATTCCAGGATTTCTTTCCATATAATGGACTTAAATGGTGGCCAATGGCTTGAAGGTCCAAATTGCAGTTTCAATGCAGCTTCAAAGGGCTCGACACGATCCCATCCGAGTAATAAGGGTCTTTAGCTTTATGATCGTTCACAAAAAAAATGCATTTTTAATCCACAAATGCTCATCTTGCACTAGCTTGACTCCACCCATTACATAATCACGTTGGAAGGTGCGGAAGTACCGGCCCAGTGTTTACAAAGCAAACGTGCAAAGAAAGTCAAACGCACTTTACAAAAAAAGGTAAAACAACGATGTCGGACGATTTTGAAGTTGGAGGAGAAATTGTTTCTCGCCCGACCCTAACTTTTTGAACCAGAGTATACAGATGAAGAGCTAACCGCATATGACCTTTCCAACGTGATTACGTAATGTGTGGATTTGTGCAAGACAAGCATTTGTGGTTAAAAAGTATATACATTTTTATTTATTTTTTTAGAAAATGACCGATCGTTTCGCTAGTTAAGGCCCTTATTACTCGGATGGGATCGTGTCGAGCCCTTTGAAGCTGCATTGAAACTGCAATTTAAACCATCAACCCGTTGGCCACCATTGAAGTCCATTATATGGAGAAAAATCCTGGAATGTTTTTCTTAATTTTTTTGCGACTGAAGACAGAAAGACATGAACATCTTGAATGACATGAGGGTGAGTAAATTATCAGGAACTTTTTATTCTGGAAGTGAACTAATCCTTTCATTTCCATTTGAAACAACATTTAGACAGACCTCTTTCATTTACACACAAATGTTAGAATGTTTTAGTTCTTTGAAAGCCGGTAATCATTTGTTTGTCCGTTTAATTTCCAATGATTTTGAGATATATTTTTTTCTTAAGACATTTTATCCATTGGACTGAGTTGTCTTAAACAGTTTTTTTTTTTTTATTTAAGTTTTCCTGGCATGACTAATCTTTAAAATATGTATTTAGTTATACACTGCTACTTCTAAATGGATGTAAATGGTGAAAAATTATGCCATCTACCAGCAGGGTTAACCGGATCAAGCTAACCTGTAGGGCTGTCAAAATGGCTGAAAAACTAAATTTGAATTTTGTACTTAAATATTATCAAAATTCGAATTATATTCTAATTAAAATGCATAATTTCAGTTAGGGTGAAGAAAAGCTTTTGGCTTCTCTTCTGAGGCCACAAGAGGGCGCATCAAGCAAAATATTACTAATGCACGTTTATTTAAAGCGTAAGATAACATGACTATCTGTGAAAAAAGTGCATAATGTTTAAAATAATGTTTATAAACCAGTTATAAATAATTAAGTTGCTTAAACAACTATAAACAAAACAGCATCATGTTTGTATGCATAGTTTAATACAAAGGGCGGAAAGCCAATCACACAAAGTAAATTTTTCATTTAAAAACATGAGATGCAGTGGGATGGGGAAAAAACCCGGCCATAAAGTCTCGATATATGTTTTTTTCTAAGTTAAACTTGCATTAATTTTACATGGCTTTCTAAACATGCGGCTCCTTTGTGCGATATGCGAGTGCAACGCTGATAGATGTCCCTCTAGAAAATGCGCGAAATATGTGTTTTGTGTGAACGGCTTGGTTTCAGTTTTGATGTAAACAAGATCTTCTCCGCATTGATGTTCTCTTTTTCCGCAGTATTTTTAATGAACAACGCAGCAGCGCCGCATCTAGTGGCTTCAACTGGATGGGCTAACAAAAACATTATAATGCAACGACATCGTCATCACATCTCGTGCGCCACTGATAAGGCTGCCTCCTTAACGCACAACTAAAATTCGAATGCAACATTTTTGCATTCGAATGTGGATTTTTATTTTAAATTCGACGAATATTCGAAATTCAAATTTGTTTTTTGACAGCCCTACTAACCTGTAAAAATCTTGACATCAACTACCCATCTGCATATGACTTATACATGGCAAAATAGCACAGTTTTGTAGCTTTTTTTTTTGACAGAAAGTCAAACCGTTCTGCAGAAACACCTCCAGGAATGAGCTTCAGAAATGACAAGGACGATGACTCACAGTAAATCACTGATTACATACTGTATTCCAAATATAAGACAGACGTCATTTTGACAGGTATGAATAAACTATGTGAGATCTGCCTGACTGATTACATGACTAAAACTATCCTCGCCTCTATGACAAGCATCATTTCAGATGTCTGAAATGATTAGACCGAACTGAAGAGAAAAGCCTCGGATGATAAAGTTAAGACTCAACCTAAATGAAGTCTCCACTCATATGAATAATAAAACTGTCTGCTTCTTCTCAGAATAATTATGCTCTTGAGGACTTACCAGCCATCTGAGACAGGTGAAATGCCATGAAGTCTTTGTTGAAGGAATCCCTGCTGGAAGCTTAAGGTGTTTAGGAAGTTGGCAGCTGGTTTCTAGCTGGTCCAAACTGACTGCAGACTGGATTGATCTGTTCCTCCTTACCTCTGTACAATTCAGTGTGTTAACTCTATCAAATACAATATGTCTCATAAACACTGACACATCTAGCTTTAAAGGGATAGTTCACCCAAAAATGAAAATTACCCCATGATTTACTCACCCTCAAGCCATCCTAGGTGTTTAGGACTTTCTTCTTTCAGATGAATACTGTTGGAGTTATATTATAAAATGTCCTGGCTCTTCCAAGCCTTATAATGGCAGTGAATGGGGGTCGACATTTTGAAGCAAACTAAAGTGTATCCATCTATCATATAAAGTACTCCACACGGCATGGGTGAACGGGTGGTAATATTCAATAGTCCAATAAAAGTCCAATAAACTGCGTCCATCCATCATAAAAAGTGCTCCACACAGCTCCGGGGGGTTAATAAAGGCCTCCTGAAGCAAATTGATGGGTTTGTGTAAGAAAAATATAGATATTTAAAACTTTATAAACCATACGTTCACGAGAGAGTCACCTTCCAGCGGATGACGTAGGACGTAGGCGTAGCGTCCAATAAACTGCCATTTACTGCCATTATAAAACTTGGAAGAGCCAGGACATTTTTTAAATATAACTCTGATTGTATTCGTCTGAAAGAATAAAGTCATATTCACCTAGGATGCCTTGAGGGTGAGTAAATCATGGGGTAATTTTCATTTTTGGGTGAACTATCCTTTTAAGATATAATTGAGAAAACATCTCGAACTATTTCATTACACTTTAGGTGACAAAGCTGACGTACAGTTGTGACAGAAAATATCAACCAAAGCCTAAAACTCACCAGAGGATGTGTGGCCTTGTTGGAGGTTAAGTTTAAGTTTAAGTATTTAAAGTATTTAAGTACAATAAGTTTAAGTATTATTGTGCCATCTCAAAGAGACACAAAATCATTTTCACTGACTTTTTCATTAACTGTTCCCTCCTGGTGGAATGACCTGCCCAAATCAATCCGAGTCCTTAACCATCTTCAAGGAACGACTAAAAACACATCTGTTCCACCTTTATTTGACCCTCCAACTCTAGCACTTTCTATTCTATTTTAATTCTACTTTATCTATATTTATCTTCTTTTTTTTTTCTTTAAAAAAAACAAACAAACAAACAAACAAAACAAAACAAACAAACACTAGCTATATATTTTTTCTATTCTCTGCTAAATGACTAAATGTAAATGTAAATGTAAGTTTGGAAAGAGGACCTTCAGGATCACGGCTGCCCTTGATATTGCCTGCTTTTATAAAAGTTTTCAATAATATCTGACTGTGTTGAAATGTGAGGGCACAGCTTTAAACTTACAAAAGATATGTATTTTAACAACTTCTTACCATCACAATGTTGCCAAGAAAACATAATAAATAATAGTCAAGATAAGTGACTTTCCTTACATAAATAAGCAAAATTGTTGTTTATTTGTTTATGGACTGGAAAAAAGTTCAAAAACACAGTAAACAAAGGTAAACTATAACTTCCTGCAAAGGACGTATTTTCAAAAATGCCATTCTTTTAAAAAAAGAAACAAAATGTTACAAAACATAGACAACTCTAAATCAATAAATAAATCCCTCTCAGGAATGGAAAAAGCATGCATGTATGCACCATTCAAGTGGGGAGGCTCTGGAAAAGGCAGAAACACAGGATGAAATGAGAAACAAACTTTACATTATGTATAGGGTGGAGGTTTGACAGCTGCCAAGCTAGCAAGCCAAAATGTCTGACTATTCTGGAAAAAGGCCATTAAATGCAACCGCCTTAATGAAAAACAAGCCCAAAATTACTTATAAGAGGATGAAATGCAGGGATATGTTTTGTTTTCTCAAAAAAAAAAAACTGATTTGTAATGTTTATGTGATGTCTGAAAAAGGCTGGTATTGACCTTTTCTTGAGTACAAAAAGAATAAAAGTGCTGGAAGGTGAATATTGTAGTAAATTATGAGATTTAAAATAAAATATCCCAAACAATATCACTCTAAATGAAATAAGGTGGACAAAACACACATTCAATTGCCCATCATAACATGACACTTTTATTACAGGACACTGAGGCAAATCAACAGATATAACAACAAATGTATTCACAAATTTTGGAGCATTTCAGGTTTCACAGTAGACTAACACTAAGTCCTGATTTAAACCCATTAAATACTATTATTCTAGGATAACAGAGTCAACTGTGCCTTGTGCTTTTCAAACCTGTGTCCTGGATTGAGACCATATCATATCTCAAACCGGCATTTACAGAATGTTGTGCTTTAAACGTGCGCAGAACACCATACACATCAATTAGAGGGCAATCACCTAATATCTCTCAAACACAAGTCTTTATGGAGATGGAAATGCACTGTGAATGCTCACTGACATTTGATATGCCGCCTACGGCAGATGGAAAGATCACTCCCCGAGTCTGGAATGACGCACTGCTATAAACAATATCTTGGAACCATTTTCAGCATGTGGATTAAGCTACTGGCTCAACGCCATAGATATTTTCATTTAAAAATAAATCTTGCTAGGCTCAAACTTAGATTAATCTGTCTCAAAAAGATCAATTCTTAAAGATGATTTCACATTAAGGTTTCGCACTGAGACAAACTGTAAGGGAACCAACCGTGGGCATGCATCTTTGGAGGTCAACTCCAGGCCTTCTCCATAATCCAGCTCTGGAACCAACAATAGGCTTAATATGAATAATTTGTAGCAACACACTTCCTTGTTTTCCTTATTTTTTGTGATTCCAAATCCAGTTATTTTGCAAATGGCTCTTTAGAAATTGACATTAAGAAAAGTATGCGCACACATATGGACAGAAGCACACACACACACACACAATCAAACACTTTAGAAAATGAATGGCACAAAACAAAAATTCATAGCAAAAGACAATGGACAATAGGCATCAGTCAGAGAAACCTCACACAGGGAAGAACCAGTGCCGAGATGATGTTCATAGTAGCCCATCATATAAATGCAATAATTAGGTCATTTAAAGGGATGGAATGAGAAGATAATTTATTCATTATATTATATATCTGTCCTCATTTTACGCTGCTAATATAAAATCCCTATATCCCCTTATATTCCAGTTAGGATTTTAGATTATGAGCAACTCATTCATTGTACCTTCCAATTCTAGCTTGATGATTCTCAGCAAATATACAGCTGTATGTTTATATATTTAGATATATTGTATAGAATTATATTAGGGCTGTCAGTTTAACATCCATATAGTATAATTTATTCCAATAAATTAACACAATTAATGTGACACAAGACTTAAAACAGTTTTGAATGTGACACATAATGAAAAAACAGATATGACACAAGAAATGATGCAACGTCCAAAGACATCCATACAGCTTGTGAACATAAACCAAAAATTAAGCAATGGTGTATATGGAAGTGTCCTATGTGAACAGCCCAAGACTGATAGACTTGACTGTTTTTTTTTTTTTTTTAGCAAATGCTGATATATATGTGATTAATTGCAATTTGATGTAGTGCTCGACCGATATATCGCCAAGGCCGATATATCGGCCGATATATCGGCCGATATTTGCCATTTTTCAAATATCGGTATCGGCCTATGCGTTCGTAGCGGTACTTTTATTTTGATGGCGCTGAGAATGAACACACAGTGCTCACATTATCCCTCTTGTTCGCTGTCCTCGTTAACATTTGTGTCGACGGACAGAAGTCTGTCTAATAATCAGATAGAACTGTTAAACCAAGGAATTAAAATGTATACAAAAAAGTATTATAACGACTGCTTTTATATTGTTAGTAATAGAAAGGAAAACATTACAATACTTTCTCGTTTGCTGTCAGCATTCAGCAAATACGCATTTATATAATTTAAACAAATCTTTGAATGACTAACGAACATCTAATTTCAAAAACCTTGCAAACTTAGTCGAATCCAGCTGTGAGATCTTATGAAGTGTGCATTTGTATCCTGCATGATTGCATGTTCTCTGCGTGACGGTCGGTCCGTGTGAATTGAATGCGGACAGGAGGAGAGTTCAGCTTCACTGAGATGCGCGATCGACAAACTTTAAACTCGTGATTTCAAATTATGCTGTACTTCATGCTTTTGCCCAATGTCATATTCATATCACACATACTGGTAAAAAAAATTTGTATAGCCTGAATGCACTGTAAGTCGCTTTGGATAAAAGCGTCTGCTAGTGCACACAAAACTTCCCAGAATACTGAGTGACCTGTTGGTTACAGTGTTTACTTCCTTTTTAATTATATTTTTATTAAATATTTGTTTATTTGTGAAAAATAAAGCATGTTTATTTTACACATTTATCTTTTAATCCATTTTCAAATGATTTAAAATTTCTTAAATATAAAATAAATAAATAAAATTATATCGGCTTTATATCGGCCATCGGCCACCCTGCTTTCCAAGATATCGGCATCGACTAGTTTATATTTTTATTAAATATTTGTTTATTTGTGAAAAATAAAGCATGTTTATTTTACACATTTATCTTTTAATCCATTTTCAAATGATTTAAAATTTCTTAAATATAAAATAAATAAATAAAATTATATCGGCTTTATATCGGCCATCGGCCACCCTGCTTTCCAAGATATCGGCATCGGCATCGGCTGCCAAAAAACCAATATTGGTCGACCACTAATTTGATGAACATTTTAAATTGTTTGGTAGCCCTAATATATGTACGCAAAAGACATACCATTTCATCTACAACTAAATTAATCTCCGAAACTAAGTTTGGTAAAGACAACCGTGTTTACATTAAATCTGTGTCATTTGTATAGAACCAAACTGAACAATTAGTTAATGCACAGTGACACCTCTCTTTTGGACACAACAAGGATTTACTTCTTCTCCCACTTATCTTTGGCAACATCACCAAAGATAGCCAGGCTGCCTGTCAGTTTAATAGTTTATAGAGATATACTATGAGCCCTATTTGCAGACCTTCTGGACAGCTGAAAGGTTTATTTAGGTGACTCTGGATGGAATGGCTTTTCATTGAAACATTCTCCACCACCACTTTGGTAGGTTTTGGTAGTCTAGTTCAAAGATATGAATGGTGCTATCAATCTGAACAAAAACGGAGCAAAGTGGAACATGTTTCATTGGCTCAAGTTCTTTCTTTCTCTTTTCTGATACTCAGTTGTTTGGTTTCTCAGTGTGAATCAAGGCCTTTGAGGGCTTTAAAGTCTGTTGGGCAATCTATTGTGCGAGATTGTGAATCGGTTGGATAGTTTAAACCAGTTGCCTATGCTGAGTTTTCTTTATAGGTCGTATTTCTGAAGCAGTTCTGACTGCCACTGCCGTTTGCGCTCTGGGAACGCCGGAGGGATCTTGATCTTTCGGAAATCTCGGATACACTGTTTCATTTCCTCCTCCACGCTGGGCCTCTCCAGAGTCTTCCTCCGGGTCAGACCGCTTCCCCCACCATCCCGCGGACCAACCCCGCTAGTGAGGGACTGGAACAGCTCACTGTTCCGCCTCTTATCCGGCATCTCCATCCACTGCACCGAAGAACCTTTCTTGGACGGTCGACCCAGAGTAAGAGTGCTCGGAGGTCGAGATACAGAGTGCAAGGCGCCACACGGAGCCAGCGAGCCCCCAACAACCTCACCACGTGACACCATGATGGGACCCCCGTCCTGGGGAGACGTGGCCTCTGAGTGGGTCTCGGAGCTGGATGTGGAGAGCTCGTTCAACGAGGCTCCACTCTCGCTGGCCTTATCCAGCAGTTTCTCAGACTTGGGCTCCTCACGCTCCAGTTTAGGGGATGCTGACTTGCACACAGGTCCTGGTGGATAGATAAAGAAAAATTAGCTGATAAAACAATATAAACCCTTAGAGGCCAATGTCAAAGTCCCACAGACTGAACTGATGAAATGCTTAGCTCCTTTGTGTTAGTGTTTGCAATAAATCACAAAATATCCATTGCTTCTTCTCTTTTCATGCATACACTGCAAAAAATATCCAAACATCCTTAAAAAAAAGATATGTTTACTTGATGAGCAAAACATTGCATCAGGACTTGCTTTTTAAATCAAACTAAATTTAGGCTTACAACAAGAAAAAAAATGCCAGCAGCACAGCACAGACCAACGTTCTTCAAAATATCTTCTTTGGTGTTCAACAAAATAGAGACACTCATATAGGTTTGAACAACTTCAAGGGTGAACTATCCCTTTAAGTAAAGAAAACTGAATTAACTAATGGTTCTTCCAATACCTAGTGAGCTGCCTACATAGCATCCTAAATTAAATGTAACATCGTTAGTGACCAATTAGGAACATTCTACATATGTAGCATCACAAATGATTTTCAATAGAGCTTGCTGTTGAAGAGGTACACTATGTGGCATTTCATTCAGTACAGGTATACGTGTTTTAATTCACAACACAACCCTTACTGCATTCCCTCTTAACCATAGATTTAAGGAGCCTGTGAGAGGATGTCATGCATGTATTTTGAGATAGAGGGGTTCTCAGTCATGTAATTCAGCCTCAAGCGAAACACCAACGAGCCTGGGTACAGGTCAAAAACATGGAAATGTGGTCCATAAATGGTAACTGACTGCATTTCAGTGCAATATCAAGGACTCAGTGGTGATTACACACATAAGAGATATGTTCAGAGGATAAGAAAGCGGTTTACACTGTACAGATTAAGACAAGTCACAATGTCTTAATTCCCCCAGAAGTCCCTTGCTGTCCACGCTTCAAAGTTCTTTGAGATATAGCTTTTATTTTCTCTGTCTGCAAAAGAGAAAATTTGGCTTATTTTGAAATAAAAAATGAAGCTTTACAAATGGCCAACACAAGTAACTCAACTAACTACATCTAATCTTGTCTATTATCTCTGTATTAGGTCATAATGATGAAATAATACATTTTTGCAGAGAATCAAGAGCCAGCTGTAACTGCACGCTTCAGCAAGTCTCTTAATGTGATGCAGAGGAGCTGCTAATTGGTGATTAAACATGGAAATGCAGGCGAAGCTGAAAACAAAGACTCCATCAGTCGCTTTTCAGGACACAGATCATTGAAGGAGACCCTCTGGGAACAGGACACCTGACCATTGGCTGGAAACAGATCCCAGACCAGCAGATCTTTCGGAAACTGACCAAGGTGGCATAAAACTAACTGCACATCACGGTAAAACGGAAATGTATAAATCCAGTAAGTTAAGCTCGACCATCAGTTTTAACTTGTCCCTTCTTTCCTTAAATGAACGGCAAAAATCTGGGTTACAGTGAGACACTTACAATGGAAGAAAATCAATCCATACATGTTGAAATGCACAAGATTTCAATATTATAGCCACTAACCTTTTCTGTGTTAAATTATACTGAACAAAATTATAAACGCAACACTTTTGTTTTTGCCCCCATTTTTCATGAGCTGAACTCAAAGATCTAAGACTTTTTCTATGTACACAAAAGGCCTATTTCTCTCAAATATTGTTCACAAATCTGTCTAAATCTGTGTTAGTGAGCACTTCTCCTTTGCCGAGATAATCCATCCACCTCACAGGTGTGGCATATCAAGATGCTGATTAGACAGCATGATTATTGCACAGGTGTGCCTTAGGCTGGCCACAATAAAATGCCACTCTAAGATGTGCAGTTTTATCACACAGCACAATGCCACAAATGTCACAAGTTTTGAGGGAGCGTGCAATTAATTGGCATGCTTACTGCAGGAATGTCCATCAGAGCTGTTGCCCGTTAATTGAATGTTAATTTCTCTACCATAAGCCAGCTCCAAAGGCGTTTCAGAGAATTTGACAGTACATCCAACCGGCCTTTAAAAAATTTGTTGCCATGCTAGCATAAAGCCTAAAACCTCAACAATTATGATTTAGACAGATTTACAGCTCAAATAACAAAGTGCTTTAAAAAAAAATCAATTCTTTTAATTTATTATTTACATTTATTATTTACATCCACCAAAAATTGGCCCTATTTTTTCTTTCTTTTTTTTGGGGTAACAATCATTATGCCAGCAGACAGAACTTGTTATCTTCCTTTAAAAGTGTGTAAATTTTGTGACACTCATGCAACAGAATAGGGAAAATAAATGACTCATACACACTGATTACTTATAGTTGTCTCTGCATATTCAGGTGAGGTGGGAAATAACATTGTAAAAATCTCAAACTTTTAAAGGTGCACTTGTGTTGTCAGATCTTACAAGAAAAGGAAGCAAACTGCAGTGAACTGGAAAAAAAAACACCCCGAAATGACTGACTCGGGACATCGAAAGAAGGTGAGAATAGAAATGAGGGTAGAACGAGGGGAATGCCAATGTATATAAGCAACTTTAGCAAAAAAAAATTCAGTATTATTATATAAGCTTACATGACAATGCTAAGGTGCTTTAATAATCATTTCCTCAATAAAACTCTTTACCCCTTGTAGACTTGTTTGCTATTATATAAAATAAAACCTCAATAAAATAACTCTTGTAAAATAAAAACACTTGACATATCACACCGGGTCACTATTTATTTAGCAAAAATAAATCCAATATGGAAAAGCCATGTGTGACAAATTCAGGACACCCTATGATTCAGTTGCTTGTAGATCTACTTTTAGCAGCAATAACTTGAAGTAATCATTTTCTGTATGACTTTATCATTCTCTCACATTGTTCTGGAGGAGTTTTGGCCCACTCTTCTTTACAACGTTGCTCCAGTTTATTGAGGTTTGTGGTCATTTGTTAATGCACAGATTTCCCCAGCATTTCAGTCAGGATGAGGTCTAGACTTTGACTGAACTGCTGCAACCCCTTGATTCTTTTCTTTTTGCAGCCGTTCTGTTGTAGATTTGCTGGTGTGCTTGGGATCATTGTCCTGTTGCATGACCCAATCTTGGCCAAGCTTTAGCTGTTGGAGGGATGGCCTCACATTTGACTCTGGAATACTTTGGTATACAGAGGAGTTCATGGTCGACTCAATGACTATGAGGTGCCCAGTTCCTGTGGCTACAAGACAAGCCCAAAAGCATCAGCCCTCCACCAGCATGTGTGACTTTTGGTATGAGGTGTTTGTGCTATGCTCTTTTTTCTTTCACCAAACGTAGCACTGTTCATTATGGCCAAACATCTCCACTTTGGTCTTGTCTGTTCAAAGGTCATTGTTTTAGAAAAACATTTTTTTTTCTGGAAAGATTGGTGTCTGTCTTGAATGTCTTCCACTTGTGAATAATCTTCCTCACTGTGGAATGATGGACTGCACCAGAAGGCTCCAGACCAGCAAACCAGCCAAAACTTCTGCTTTTATAGAGGTGCTCACACTTGCTGATGATCAGACCAATCAAAGGTATTTGATTAGCAGTGCCTGACTGTTACTTACCCTCTTAATTCCCATGTTAACAGTAAGGGTGTCCTTAGTTTGTCACACATGGCTTTTCCAGTTTGGCCTAGTTTTTGTTAAATATATAATGACAGAGTGTGATATGTCATGTGTTGTTGTTCATCTGAGGTTTAACTGTCCAAATTTTAAGCCCTGCCAAGGACCAGATGATTTTTTATTATGTCCTGATACGGAAAACCATGGAATTCAATAGGATGTCCTTTCTTTTTCACATGACTGTATATATGTACTGTTTTTTACTACAGTAAAGTATGAAAAGGGACCCAAACCTAAAGACCAGAATATAGGAACTTGAAGACAATCTCTTTTGTCTTGGGTCTATAAGCAACCACCTAGCAACCACTCTCATTTTCGTCAGAAACAATGAAGTGATAGTTCGGTTAAAAACATATGTTATAAACCTGAGCCTGTTGAGTAAACCAACTGATGGGCTAAAAACCTAATTTGCACCATAATCGACCGTCAGAGGACCACATGCAACCTTCATGCTGTAAATTGCATAGCTGCGTATCTGAAGCAGCGGCATATCCATTTGCTGAGGTCAAGGGGCCTCAGATGCAGCTGTAGAGAGTGCAGCGGGACCTTATTGAACTCAACACTACTCTACCCTGCCATTCTGAATTAGCATGAGCGCTGTCTACAGGCCTGGAACGTTCCAGAACGTCCTCCGTTTTTAGCCATTTTAGGTTGAACGGCCCATTGTGAAGTCATTCTGTGTGAATGGGTGTTTTAAAATGAATATCCTGCCATTGAATAACATATGGTGAGCTGATCATTAAGGCACATGTGGCGAGATGGAGGCATTTTAACAGTCTGTTCATCCTACTTGCTCCTGTTGCTTCATAATCTCTACAACAGCAATAACCATCAGGGTCTGCAGCAAACGAGCTAGCTGGGCTAATGAATGGCTTCAAATCACACACACAGACTTCCCATCTCACTTAAAAAACAATTACACATGTAGATCCACAGATTAGCTCTTACTGGTGTGCCTTTCCCATGTGCGGCCTGAAGGAAAACAGTAATAGCTTATCTACTTTGAGTAAATACAGTCTATATCAAACTGTCATTGGGTTAATGAAATGCATAAGAACACATAAATAAGCAGAGGTAATAACTGTTCCGGCTCTACAGGCGAAAAAACGTCCCATCGTAAAACATCTCCAAACCAGGCCATGAGCTGTGACATATGGAGGTCAGACTGATAAATCATGGAAGAGGAGGTAAAATACTAAAACTGCTATCCCATAACATACAATTGTGTAATTTGAGGATGCAACGTCTTGATCTGAGATCAATAAGTTTAGTAGCAGAAATGGATTTGAATGTACTCTAAATATTACAATATAAGCCTCTGTTACTATATTGCACTATATTGTATTCAAATTTAAAGTTTACCATGCTGGAAATAAAGAACCCAGG